CCGCCGGGGGGCCAGCCTCGGCCGCGCCTCCTCCCCCCACACCCCCCCTTACCTGCTTCAGGCTTCCCGCGAATCAAATGTTCGCGGGAAGCAGGGGAGGGGGCGGAGACTTTGGGGCGTGGGCGGAGTTGGGGCGTGGGCGGGGCCCCGTGGAGTGTCCTCCATTTGGAGGCACAAAATATGGTAACCCTAGACAACACATGGCTAGACAAACAGATTGAGTACCAGGAAACAATGAGCCAGTATGGTTGGCATGGTCGGCTGTGGTCTCAGCACTCCAGCAGCCTAACTGTTGTAAATGTCTTTGTAGGCCTTGTAACAAGGAGAGTCTTAAACTGGATTTTGAAGAAGGATGATGAGTTAGTTTTGTGGATGCTTACAGGGAGCTTGTTCAAGGCATGAGTGGCAGCCTGGGAGAAGGCCCAAAGGTGCTTGTTTGAAAATTTAACAAGTGGTGGATAGAGACTATCATGGGCCAAACAGAGGCAGGAGTTGGCCTTCTGATGCTGACTGAGAGATAGGTAAGGGCATAGGCGCAGACTTTCCCTCTTTCCCCTGGGTGCTCGACCCCACTCTGTCCCCGCCCCCGCTCCACCCATTCCATGAGGCCCCGCCCCCATTCCAACCTCTTCCCCAAAGTCCCCACCCCAACTGCGCTCCCTCCCTGCCCCTATTCCAACTCCTTCCCCAAATCCCTGCCCTGGCCCCGCCTTTTCCCCTGAGCGCATCACGTTCCCGCGCCTCCCCCCGCCCCTCCCAGAGAGTGCTAATGCTGCCAAACAGCTGTTCGGCGGCGGCCAGGCGGGAAGCGCTGGAAAGTAGGCGGAGGACCGGGGATGCGGCATGTTCGGGGCGGGGAGGAGGAGCTGGGACGGGGGAGGAGAGAGCTTGGCTGCCAGTGGGTTCAGAGCACCCACTAAGTTTTCCCCGTGGGTGCTCCATCCCTGGAGTCGGCGCCTATGGGTAAGGGGGGGAAAGATCATGAAGGGCCTTGAAAGTAAAGACAAGCAGGTTATATCTGATATGATAGAGCAGTGGGAGCCAGTGAATTATTATGATGTAATTGTGTACATCAGTCAAGCATTGGGCACTGAGAGAAGTTCAACAAGATTGCTTTACAGAGCGTGGGTCTGAATATTGTAGCTGAAACACCAGCACCAGAACCAGGGAGGCCATGGTCCCTCCACTTTTTAACAAAAGAAACATATGCACTGTGGGAAAAACATGATCATGCTGATTAAGGCCAAGATGCACTATGAGATCGGCTGCATTCCTAGATATCCACTGCAATCCTAGATAATCATGTAATCAAAATAGCATTAAGTTTACATTTTTTGCTTAATAGATATCATACTGCTTCTATCTGCTACAGCCTGCTGATGGTGTGTTAGGTTTTCTAAAAATATATTTTTGATTTGATTTTTTTAATAAAACATTATAAAATGATTTTTCTATGGTAGCTCATATATGGGGACACGTTTATCTCCCTTCAAAGTTTTTTGTTATTCTTATTATTTTGCTGATGCCTATTTCCAAGGATATTTACAAGTTAGGGTTACAATTGTTAAAATATACATTATATATAAACAAGGATGATTCAATGGTAATGTTGCAGAATTGCAAGTTATAGTTCAATAATAATAATAGTGCAGTATTAATAGTGGAGTATACACAGAAAAATGATAAATGCAAGTGAAGTATAATACATGAAGTGCAAAAATAAAATGTTCCAATGTTTAGAACTAAAATTCTTTTTTTTGTTTGTTCATATCAGAATTATAACAAATATTATAATGTAGTTATATTTTGTATTCTGGGTTATTTATGTTACAATTGTATTTTGTGGAATATTTAAATAGTATTTTAATTCCTCCACCACTTTGGCCTTGGCCCCTCCACTTCTACAAAGGTTCCGGGGCCCTTAAGCTCAATCAATTCTAGCTACCTCTGGGTTCAGTTCGAGTCCAACTGAAAAATGGATCTGCAGACAACAACATGAACATTTGTGTGTCACCTGAAAAACGTTACCGATGGTCAACAAGATCTTGAAGCTTCTGGATCCTTTCAGAATAGGGACAACTGTCACGCTTCCTTTTTTTTTTTTCCTTTGAGCATTTTTTTTTTTTTGGTCCAGATGGAAAGTAGGAAAGGTCACGTCAGTTAAGTTGCTTATAAAAATGTCTGAAGCTGCAAGCCAAACACTCTCTGTGCTCCCATCAGTGATAAACAAAGATCCACGCTCCTCTCAGAAGTTCAGTGGCTCGTGCCTTAAAATATTTTGTCATTGGTTGACTTACACCATTTTGTCAGTGGATTCAGACTTACACAGAGAGGTGATTCTTACAGAATTAGCTATAGAATGGTCTTTCCCCAGGCTACCTCATCCAGCAGCTGCTGTATCCTATTGAGCATATTCTTCCTCCTTTCTCTCACTGATACTCCACTTTTCCAGAGGCATCTTAAAGCTCGGGGCAGCCAGTCTACATGCTTCAGCTCAAATGATCTCCAACCAAGGAGCTTTAGCATGCAATTTTGCCTACAATATGAACTGTCATACGTAGCCAGACATTCTAGCACTTAAAGTATAGAATTGGGGGAGAAGGGGGGAAAAAAACAACAACATAGGAACTGCCATCCTTGAGAAGACCTGAGTTCCATCTAGGCCAGTATCCCGTCTCTGATAGTGGCCAATACCAAACGATTCACAGAAAGGCACAAGTAGCACACTACCAGAAAATTATGGAATAACTTCTTTCTAATCCCAAACAATTTGTGCTTGGTTTGTGCTCTGAACCAGAGGTTTTAAATGCCATATTGTCTATCCCAGAGGTTCTCAAACTGTGGTTTGCAGCCCACCAGTGGTCCACGAGCTCCATTCAGGTGGTCCGCGGATAGTTCCCTCTAAGGTGCGCGCCTGGGCGGCTGCACACAAGAGAATAAAGGCCCACTCACCTAATTAGTGCCTGGACTAATAATTAGGTGCCTGGACCCTGGAGAAGATGCACATGTAAGGTGAGGTGGTGGGCTTGGGGGGGAACAGGGTGTAGGTGGGAGGGGACAATGGAGTGAGAAGAGGGGGTGGGGGGAATTTGGGATGTGCAGGGCTGCAGCGGCTAGAGAAAGAGGTGACTTTCCCCAGCTCCAGGTCTGTGGCTCCCAGGGAGAGACGGACCTCCTTCCCAGCCCCAGCTCTGTGGCTGCTGTGGCAGGGGAGAGACCCCCCTCCTTCCCAACCCCAGCTCAGGGGGCTGCTGCAGTGTGGGAGAGAGGACACATCCATCGCATTAGAAAGGTAAGGCTACTGATATTAAAATATGAGTTGTGTGCTTTTATTTGTAGAACAAAAAAAGTTAATCATTTTTTTATATAGTGCTTTTATCCAAAGCGCTTTATAATAGTTAGCTAACGGTACAAACAATATTTGGAAAGACCATTAAGTGGTCCGCCGAGACACTCAGCAATTTTCAAGTGGTCTGTGAAAAAAAAAAAAAAAAGTTTGAGAACCACTGTTCTATCCTATATAATGAAGCTCTTAGACTTGATATTATCAAGTGAAAGTTAGTTCCACAAGTTAATTATGCATTATTTCATTGACCGTCCCCTTGTTCTTGAATTTTTCTTTTGTCATTGATCCTCTTCTTACCACTAATTCACTGTGTGTCCTTGATCGAGTCGCTTAATATCTCTCCTCTGTTTAACCACCTGTGAAAGAAGGATGATACTTACCTCAGAAATGTGTTGTGAATCTTAATGAATTAATGCTTGTAAACACTTCACGATCCTTGGATAAAGAGGACTAAGGGCAAAGTATCATTTTTAGAATTATTACTACATCATGCTGAACTCTGGACTTACCCAACCATGCTTTGTTAATACCTATTCTCTATACAGCTACTTCTGCTGTAATATTATTAGCACCAGATGACAATCTAACCAGATGAGGATTTCCCCATTTTCAAACCACAAACACAATCCTCTTAAAATCATCCTTTTTTTCATAGGGAGGGAACTAGCAAGAAAAAAAAACCCACACCTTGTTCCATTAACCATCATTTGGCACTCTGAATGTAGAACATCTGACTAATAATTCCTTTATCTACAAGAGACCCATTTACTGGATTCCGATAATAATAAATGGTGACATTTTCCATATCTTTGCCATTACAACACTGGCATGTTGAGAAGGGTAGAAATAGCAGCTGACATCCCTTAGAACAAGATATTTACTGCTACACAAGCTACTTCTTTCACTAGTCACTCAAGGACTGGATGAACAGGTACACATCTTATTCTATTGGATTTCAGGTACAGACATTTCACAGCTTTAGTTCATGGATTTCTAGAGCTTTGC